TCGGAAATTGCTGATGAAAAGGTGTTCTAATGGTATTTGAAATGAGCACTATGTGTTAGAAATTGTTAACGGAGCAGTATAGGTGCTGCTAAAAATAAAAATAAAAAAAAGCATTCGAATTGTATATTAAAATCAGCTGAAGGTGAAAATTCTAGTGTAAAATTTAATCTTGAGAAAATTGCTATCGAAATGGTATAGTCACTCCTGAAATATCGCGGTCATATAATGAAATATTTCGAATGAATGAAGATATTAAATCTTGTTTTCTACTTCTACATTTTCAATATAATTAAGTTTTTGCATTAGTAACGTTTGATATTTTTATTAAAAATTATATATTAAAATGTGGTTTAAAAATTGATCTGCTAGTGATCTCAAAAAATCAACTTTTAGTTGGTCGATATAATAATCAACTAAAGTTGACTACTTGATTAAAATATGTCTTTATTTCCCCGCTTTGTTCTGAGAACCATGTTTTTGTATTTAACGTTTTAGTGACTGCCGACTAGTCGATTTTAGTCAACTAAGTGATGATCGACTACTGATTTACCAATCATTGGATTTTTAACCATACTTATAAAAGTAAGATTTCTAAAATATAAACTTGTATAACATACAACGCGTTTTTTGTTTGTATTTGCACTAAAATTTCTTAATAACAACTTCTTTTTTTACATAAATTTTTTTTTTTATTAAGGAAATTTGAAGTTAAACGGAAAGCCGGTCGTTTTTTTTAAAAACTCGCTAACATAAACTAGTGGCTTATTTAGCGAATATATATATATATATATTTTTTTTTTCTTTTTTTATTTATTCTTAATTTACAATTTCTCTTAATAAAAACTTTTATTATTTTTTTTTATATGAACTTTCGACTCTACTATATCCTACTCGTCCACTTCGGCGCCACGGAATTTAAAAGTTCTATTTATAATTTACTCTGCTTTCATGTTACAAATAACCTTTTAACTCTTACTAGTTCTTTTATTTTTTATTTTATTTTATTTCTTCTAGGCTTTTAATCGTTACATTCGCGACCTTATGATTTGAAATTGATTTTACTTGCGATAGAAGGTAAATTATCTTACTGGGGATTCATGTTTAGTATACGCGTATGTGTAAGTTACGCTGCGGTATAATGACGATACCGTGTAGACACAGCGTTCTGAAACTGATGCAACAAAGTAGTCTAGAATGATAAGGTTATATTAAGAGCTGCCTAGGAGAGTATACGGTGATATGTTTTATGTTTTACGTTTTACATGTCTCGTATGGACGTTGTGTGAAAATTACGCTGCAGAAATAAAGCCCATCGTGTAGACACAACGCACTCCGAAGCAGATAATAACCAAATTTATCATTATACATAATAAGGTTGCCTAGGTAATAGGAGGGTACGATGATGCATACGATGTATTCGATTTTTTATTTTTCTCTCTTTTTTTTTAGAAATGTTATAGAAAAATATATTTTATATCTAAAAAATAAACTTGTTTATGGAATAAGTTGTCAGTGAGCTAAAGTGATTGTCAGTGAAATGATGCGGATCCGAAATGGTAGAAAATACTTATATGAAGTTAAGTCGATATTATTTTATTTACATTGTATTGATTACAATATTTGTAATTTAAATATAAAATTTTTATTAATAAAATATGAATACAATATATATATAAGTATGATATATGAATATAAAAAAAAAATAAAAATGAATATAATAATAGATAGATGAATAAAATAGAATTGAGATCAAGAAACTAAGGCGAGAAAAGAAATTATGATAAGATTACGATTAAGGCGAGAGAAAGAAATTATGATTGAGAGAGAAGAAAATTATGATCGAGAGATTGTGAAATTTATCAACGGATAAGAGGAATATTTCTTAAGCTGAACGATAACAAATTTCACGAACTATCAAGGCAATAAAATTCCACGAATAAAACAACAATAAGGAATGTAAAAAAAAAATTCATTACCCCAACAAAGATGAATTACGTGTTCAAATATAAAAACATAATTTCTAATCTAAATGAAAAGAGTGTTATCGAAAATTATCAATAGCCCAAATTAAGCTACAAAAACAAAATTAACTAAAGAAACTTAAACTAGGATTCCGACATAAGAAAAATCTTGAAAAACTTGATTTGGAGCTGGGTAGGAATGCCATCTATCCGTATCATCATAGAATAAAAGTGTTCAACCGTAATATTTAGAGAACCAATTCTTCAAGGAGCTTTATCTTTCCCGAATTTCTTTTAAGGCAATTTTGAGGCTATTAATAATGACTACGTAGTAATGGGCAAATGCATGCATGAACGTTATACATATAGTACAACGTTTATAATGCATTGGCCCATTTATAAGAGCAACCTATATAAGGAATTAAAAAGTTAGAAAATAAATTAATTTGACATTAAATCAAAAGCCATTTATTAAAAGTGTACTTATTAATTTCATTATTTAATGTCGGTCTCATCACTTAGGGATGGATTGATGAGACCGACTCGCGTTGTTAAATTAACCTCTATATGGCCAGTAAAATATAGGTCGACCCTTCCCCTTGAATCTGATGCTCCAATATTACAAGTAAACACTTTTTTCTATGACTAAGGAAAATGGCACTAGGTAAAGACTTCCAAGCTCTTCGTCAAGCTAGACAAGATTTTTCATAAGTCAGAAGCAGTCTAAGCCCGTTAGCTAGTTTTGGATCCATAACTTGACTTGAGTACCGATAGTTAACGAATTCACACTAATACATTTAAAAAATAAATTATATTAATAAAATAAGAACGTGTAATTTATCTTACTTTTATACCAAATTATCCATAGCTTTAAGGCCGCCTTGAAAGTCCTAACGAGCATTAACGAGCATTAACGCGTCTTTACGCGAAACGAAATCTTCCGAACTTCCGAATCCAAAACAAGATTTGGAACATTTTCGTGCGATATCACTAATAACATGAGGAAATCATATTTTGAAGGAGTCCCGATCAACTCCTCAATAAATATAATACTCTGGGTTTACTTTAATTGATACAACCCAATAAGTGGTATCGCAGACTACGAATACGAGATAGACGACAAGGAAGTTTCTGAATGTAAAGACGAATTTGAAGAAAGAAAAGATCTTATCATAGATCGGGATTAACGGGGATTCGAAATCAGAAATAATAGGATAGCCAAGTAATTGTAGAATACCAATTATGAGAGATAATAAGAAGAGTCCGTAAGACATTTTTTTAAAAAAAAGTAATTATGTATGTGAGTGGTTATAAAAAATTTTGAGAAGATAAAAATGAATACGAAGACTTTTTAAAGGATTCGTAACTGCGTAATAATCCTGCGGTTTAACTATTCTGTATATAAATAATTCATCTAATGTATATACTTTACCGTAGATAAACTGGTTTTCGACAGCTTCCTGGATTTAGTAGGTAGCCCTTAGAATCAATTATGCAAAAAAAATCGATTACCTAAACGAAATTATATAAAACCAATAAGAAAAAAAAAATAGCAAATATAAATCTAAAATAACCACCTTTTTTTGAGAGGTAAAGTACATCATTGCAAATTTCAAAAGATAATACTGTAAATTGCAATTATTTAGAAATCGAAAAACATTGAGCATGATCGTACTTAAGTTAACGGTTAAAATTGATTAGGGGGTTATAGTCTAATCAGATTCTAGCTTATTAAATCTTATATTATCAGTTATGTAGGAAGCCTCTATAATAAACTGAAATCATCCGACTTCTGTCCATGCCCTTATTACAGTTTGAAAAAGGTATGAGCTCATAATTTCATAACAATGGTAGTGTAGTCTGTCAATCAATAATACAGAATCAGAAAATCTTATAGAATTTAATCTTCGTGTTTTACATCATATCTTTAGATTTACAGATGTGATTCAACACGCAAAGCAAAAAAAAATATTGTAAATGTTTTTAAAAACTATTCAGGAATTTGATATTTTTTTACTTGAATTTTCTCGATCGTGTTACGTTACATCAAACGGTGTTTTGTTAGCCAGCTAAAGAAACCGGCTAAGATCACTAATTATATGGTTAAGTTTATTATTATTGACTGTTTAAGTGCCACTTCAATACGAAATTCGTGGACCGATTTAATAAACTAGAATTTTTCTTAAGGTAAAATATAAACTTGGTAGAATATATTTTTTTTTATAGATCTCGGTAGATCTCATGTTTGTAAAAGGTAAAGATTACCAGCTAGAGGTCGGAACCGGTACTTACAATTCGACTATAAATTCGGGTTAACCGGTTTTAATATGAAATTGGTTTTGAAATACTCCAATTCGGGTGCAAACTCCAACAACCCGGTTTTAAACCTTTAATTCGGTTTTATGCTATTCCCGATTTCGAGATGACCTAATTATGAATTTGATTATTGTAAACTAACATGTATAAAACATTAATGCACTTTCTGCTTATTATTGTATAAATATATTGGCTATTCATATACAAAATAATCTAATTTCACCTTATTTGTCTTTTGTTTCCGCTTCACGTTCATTTGAAATTCTATTTGGGCCAGCCTCTAAAAACCCTAGAGTTCAATTCTCTATAAATAGTTAATGCCAAATGCCAAACTAGTTAATTTATCTTTATCTGTTATTAAAAGTGTCACATTTTTTCGAAATTATATAACTTACGTATGTAAAAATTAAATAAATTGATTTCTTAACGATTCTAATTGAGATA